TTAAAACGAATTACATTTTAAAGCTATTATACGATTTCGGACTCCGAAAGGACTCCAAATAAAATTTATAGCTGCCCTTACTTCTACAAGATAAGGATGCAACCTCACTAAAAAATGTGTAAATTGAGGCGATAAAGTTTTATAAGAAATCAACATGTCATTATTACATTTATTTTTATGGACACGACAAAGGCTCACAATTTGGACGCGAGGTGCAACTTGCCCTCTTTGTTAATTTTAAAACTTGTCCAGAATGTACGGGCATAGCCGACAAAATGGGAGGAGCATTTCAATCTACCCTTGGATCACTCGGATATTTCGACACCACCCTCAATTTTTCAAATAATTTCAAAGACGAGCAACACGCGGGTGAGAGAGAATATGGTAGGTTCTGACAGCTCGTAAAAGCCTGGAATATCCAAATTCGTAAATCTAAGGCTAGGATTGCCCCAAAAATCGCTGCTGGTCTAAATGGACGACCCACTTTCCTCTGGTGACATGATTTTCATTGAGACTTTTTGTATCATTTATGAAATGATGGGCTCATTGCACTTACATCACCCAGGTTTTTTTAGACTATCATTCATATGGGCAAGAATGATGAGGACATTTTGCAAGGGCTAATGAAAGCCACACTCTTACACTAACAAAAAAAAACTTATATAAAGTTGAAACCCTAAAGGTCTGAACAATTAAACTGAAGCGCATCTAAAAAATTCATCGGAAAAACTTGTTTTGGTCCTGAAAACCCTTAAATCCAATCATCTCGACCTTAACATACGTGATGTAAAAAAAACGGGAGTTCAAATCTTACAAATAATGCATCATGTAATTATTTGCGCTATTTGCGCTTTAAAATTTATAAATAGAGATGAAAATAAATTTTCAGGGCACCATAAAGTGTTTGGATACTAAAACAGCATCTTTTGATACTATTTAAAGGTGCACCTTACCTTGATTGTTTTAGGCCTCAGCCTTATACAAACGACACCCTTTACATGTATATATTAGATAGGGATCCGAGCTTGGCTTATTGAATTCCAAGAAGTTAAGTTTATTGTTTTGGACTTAAGCCAGCGAGCTAGGCTAGTTGTTCTCATCATAAAATTGAAGTTTTAAAGTGGTATAAATGTAACAAGTCTATGACCACTTTAAAATAAAAAAATGCATACACCGAGACTATATATTTTTTATATAAAGAGGTAACAATCATTATTGACTGTTAGATTTGAAATCATATATTTGAAGATGTATCATTATTTGGGGGCACAAGATCCAAAATAAAGATTTATCAAATATTATGACCCATTTTCATTTGGGTGCGGTTTGTATAGTGTTGAGGTTCTAAATAGTCAAAATAAAGCATACCTTCAAATAGTATCAAGCAATGGTTTAAAAACCGGATCGGTGACCGGGATCGGGCTTTTCAAAAACCTATCCCAATCGGCGAATCGGCGATCCGGATCGGAATCGGGTGAATCGGTCAGAATAAAGCTTCAAAAAAATCCGAAAAAATTATTAAAATTCATTATAAATATTGTTTTTTAGGAATTCAATAAAAAATGAGGGTACTCCATTAAGAATTTTCATGTTTTTGAATGAATATGCGAATATTGATATGTTCTTCCCCTGCATGAACCGACATTCAACATTTAATTTACATCACACAAAAGGATAAACATAGAATTATCATGGAATAAGTATATCAACATACATGGACTACAATAAAGCATAGAATTAGTAACATATGATCTAAATTAAGATGTAAAAAGTTTAAATTAACCTGACAGTTCAAAAAGAAAAATAATCACCATATGTAGTGATAATATGTTGCGGTAGTTCATGTAGTCATATTCGTTGTTATTTGTTATTGCAAAAGGACAATAATATTTTCGTACATATTAATTACAAACA